CTTTGCTTATTCAGGGCTTCTTTCCATTCCAAATGAAACTAGAGATTACCTTTTCCATCTCCTTGAAGAATGGGATTGGTATTTGTATTGGGATTTTTTGCATGTTTTCTAAAGTGACAAATGCATAATTTATATATTTTTACTGTATCTAAGTGCGTATGTTGTTGCTGTGTGCCATGGAGTCGGAACTGACCCACAGCAGGTTCTCAGAGGCAGTCAATCACGTGGGAGGAGATTACCCATCCTTCTCGTGCAGACCAGCTGGTGGATTCGAACTGTGTGCCCTTGGGAATGCAGCACAGCTTTTTACCACTTGGCCACTGGAGCTCTCTGTGTGTGTGTGTGTGTGTGTGTGTGTGTGTGTGGCGTGCTACTACTTAAATTAAAAAAGAATACCCAGGTATGCTTATATTGTTGTTGAGTATCGTCAAATTAAAAGCAACCCATAGCTGGCATTCCTCCAGCAGGTTTCCAGAGGCTATAAATTGCACAGGAAGAGACTGCCTATCTTTCTCCTGTAAACAGCTGGTGGATGTGCCTTTGAGTTGGCAGCACAACGCCTTACCACTAAGCCACAAGAGCCCCTCTATATGCTTTTAGATGCACAAGATATCTAGAATGTTACATAAGAACTTCCAACGATGTTTCTTCTGAAAGGAAGTGAGTCAGTGGGGGAAGCAGTGGACACACTCACTTTTCATTCTCTATCCTCTGTAACTTCTGAGTTTTGTATCATGACATTGTCCCTTCTAAAAGGTTAATAATAGACAAACCAACTTGAAACCATTATATTGTTGTTTTTGTTGTGTACCATTGAGTCAGAACCAACCCATAGCTGACCCTCCAGTGGATTTTCAGAGGCAAGAGCCTCTTAGTGTGGGAGGAGACTGCCCATCTTTCTCCTGTGGAGCAATTGGTAGATTTGAACCAGGATTGCAGCACAGCTTCTTGCCAATGGCCACCAGTGCTCTGTGAAACCATGGTATCATCTTACTAAATTTGGTTCTTTTTTTTAAATTTTTTTTTTATTTGATTCTTCGGCTAAGACAGCAGAAGAGATGATTTATTGTGCACGTGACATCCAACCACAACTAAGCAGAGTTAGTCCAGAATATCATAGGTCCAGGGCAACAGATCAAAAGGGCCTGGTTTCGAAGGAGGAAAGCGGGCCTCTCAGGTGTTCATGGCGATTGAATGGCTATAGATGTTCTAGATCCCTTGAGTTAGAAGTTCTAGACAGGAGCATGCAGTCCAGTTTGTATCAGCATCCCCAGCCTGTGGCGTCTGCACACGCTCACGTCTACTTGGACCGCTGCCTCATCTTTCTTCTTTTACGCTTCAGCCTGCGCATTCGCTTTTTCCTCCACTTGGCCCTCATGGTTCGGAGGTCTCGAACAAGATGGCGCTAAAGTGGAAAGCTAAATTTGGTTCTTAAACTCTGTGTTCATCTAGGCAACTGTTGTAGGATCCGGTTTGACTTCTTCAAGCCTCACCTCACAAAACCATAAGCCCTGGTGAATCTGGTCCCCAGAACCTCTCACTGGCCAAACTCACCCCAAGCTTCTTACCCTTGCCTTCTTTACTCTATTCAACTACTTCCTTTCCCACATGGTTTCTAGCATGTCTTCCTTTCACTAATGCCTTCACTTCACTCCTTTTCTACAACACTAAGCACTGCTCCTCCAGCTTGGTTTTTTCACTTCTTTCTGTAACCATAATTTATGATCTCCCCTTAAAAAGCTGCCTTCAGCAGCCTAGGACATAATCCATGTCTTCTTTCTTTCCCTCAGTCCCCACCTCTTCAAACAGGCTGCCTCAGGCAAGGGCCTCTTCTACTACATCTGCCCCAACAAGCATGGATGGACATTTTATGAACTGAAGCCAATTCCAGAAGCAACAGCCTAGAAGCCTAGGAAGCAACTGTAATTACAGGTCTTAGATGAGGATGACGTGTACAAAAGCCAATCAAGTGGAAAGTTATTTCCTCTTGATTAAGAACAAATTGTCACCAGAAGGTTTCTAATCTCTGCAAACAGATTTCTCACCTAATTCCTTATTTGTTTTTCTCTTCTGCATCTTATGTAGAAAATGTGCTTCTACAGCAGTAAACTAGCTTACTTACAGTGTAGGAGTCTCACCTCTTTTAAGAGCAGGGACCGTGTAATACATTGTTATTGTTGTCATGTGCCATCAAGTGACATAATATGTACATATAGGGTTGTCATAGTGCCCGATGTACAACAGCCCTAAACCCTGCTCTATCTTGTGCCAACCTTAATGTCTCTGACACACCTACCTCCATTACCCCACTCAATGAATCAATCCATCTCATCGAGAGCCTTCCTCTCCTGTGCTGTCCCTCCACCCTCCCAAGCATGACATCCCTCTCCAAGGACTGGTCCCACCTTGCAACATGTCCAAAGTATGTCAGATGAAGATTCAGAATCTTTGCCTCCAAGGAGCAGCCTGGTCTCACCCTCTCTAGGACAAACCTGTTTGTTCTCCTGGCAGTCTATGGTATAAGCACTACTCTTCCCCAGCACCAAAGCTCAAAGGCATCAATTTTCCTTCTATCAAGCCTAGTCATTGTCCAGCTTTTTAATGCATAGCAAGTAATTGTGAAGACTATGACCTGCATCAGGCGCACCTTACTTTCCAGACTGATATTGTTGCATAAATATATAATATATTCCCTATGCCTATTTTAGTTCCTTAGGGAGTTCCGGTGGCTTAGTGGTAAAAAGATGTGCTGTCAACTCAAAGGCACGTTGTTCACAGGAGAAAGATAGGCAATCTCCTCCTGTACAATTAACTGCCTCTGAAAACCTGCTAGAGGGTCAGCTGCGGGTCGGTTCCAACATGACAGTACATGAAAACAATCTCAGTTCCTAGCATAGGAACCACTCGCAATACACTTGTTAAATAAATGAATTTTAAAAATACGCTTTAAATAATCAGGGGCGGGGAGGGGAACAGTCATTATAAAGCTGTAGAGGAGGGCATGATCTGACAGCTTCATCCAATCTCTGAAGGCACCCACCGCAGTCCAGCCCGGATGATTTAGCTGAGCCATCAAGGCCATCTAGTGGCAGAACAGCTCAGTCACTGCTTTAGTGGCTGCCACCACCACTAGCCAACCAGTCAATCCCGCCCCACGGGGACCTGACAAAGTAAAATCATGCTGTGCAACTTTTCAGTGGCTGACTCTTCAGAAGTAGACTACCAGGCCTTTTTTCTGAGGCACCTCGGGGCCGACTCAAATGGCCAAATTTCTGTTTAGCAGCAGGGTTCATTGCACATCTGAATCACCTAGGAGTCTCAGCAGGTTAAAACTCAAAAGACGGGAACTGTCTAGAACCAAGCCATAGCTGACCCTCCAGCAGCTCTTCTGAAGCTGTATATGACACCAGAGAAGATCGTCCATCTTTTGCCCATGGAGCACCAGGGGGATTCGATCTCTAGGCACCACCCTTGCTTGGATCAGTGCAAGTCCCCGTGGACTATGCCACCAGAGCACCCCTCTCAGTGTGAGGAATCCTCAAGGATTAATAGAATTTTGTTTGGTTTGTCTCCTTTTCCTTCTAGTGAAATTAAAATTTAGAAATGATAGCAAACATTTTTCAAATCTGCCACTGGAAGAATTTTCTTTGCCATTTCTGAGATTCATTCATCCTTGTTTATTGTGGTATTCATAATTTCAGGAAAGTGCATTATCTAGAAGAGTGGTCTTCAAAAAAGTTTCATTGTGTGTGGATTCAATAATATAACTAGGCATATGTCTTTTTTAAAAAATCAGATATACTGCACCATAAAAAATAATTGGGAACAAAATTCACCTCTGTTGTTCAACTTTTAAAGCCAAGTAATAGACAGGTATATAAGGTGAACAAGAGTCCAGAAGAAATATTTGTTCCTTAGAATAATAATCATGTAAGGACTAAAGAGTAGCATTTGTCTAAGAACAAAGCTCAGAAGTTAGGAAGAAGTAGGATGGAAGGATAAGTGAAAATGAGAAACAGAAAGAGGCAGTGGGAAGGCTGAGACTGAATAGTGGGTACTGTAATTAATGTTATAAAACAAAATGTGTGTGAGTGGCTGAATGAAAATCCAATTTGCTCTGTAAACTTTTACTCCAACCACAGCAGAAATTTTAAGGGAAAAAAATGCAAAAAAGAATTATGGAGAAGAATGGAGTGAGGGGCCAAGAGACAGGAGCTAGGAAGTTCTTGGGAAAGCTGGGGAAGGGGAATGGCAACAAAGATGGGCCAAGTCTGGGGAAAAGGAGTCAGGTTTGTCCTGTACTTGTCAAAGTTGACGTCCAGCATGCCTGCCTTCTCCAGGCTGATGCGTAACAACGGGGTGTCCAGCCGCCGGATGCAATCCTTGTCCAGGGTTGTCGTCCACTCTTCAAAGGTTCTTCGAACCAGTTCGTCAATGGCCTGAACCATCTGCTGGTAGGTGTGAACACTCTCCTCCCCAGTGCCAATATGGGGCAGGAAGTGAGCACTAGAGAGACACTGAGGGGAGGAACCAAGGTGAAAAGGACCACCTGGGCAGGCCAGCAGGTACGTGGGCACCCCCATACACACACACACACATGCTGCCCCACACGCCACCCCGAGTTCCCTGCTCTGAGAGGTAAGACCCCAATCGCCTGCTGCTAAGGAAAGTGACTGATTCAGAGGATACAGATGGACAGTGAAGCCAAAAAGAGAGGTGGGAGAAACAGACCAAGGCACACTGAGAGAGTCACAATGAAGAGTTTGAGTCCTTGAGATTCAGCTCAAGGATGAACAGCTGAAACAAAGGGAGTTACAGGAGGTTAAGAGTTCAGAGGTTCAATGTTCAAACCTGTATACACAGGCTTTCCTTGCCTTCAAACTTAGTCTACTGGCACTTAACAAGTCCAAGTTCCTGCAGGCTGCCTTGTTACAGAACCAACTAGGTGACAGCAGGTCAGGACCTCCATAGTTTAAAAATCTACATTCTCAAAAGTGAATAATTTTTATTTGCTTAATTTTTGTTGGTTTTTCCAGGAAGATCAGGTCCTACAAGGTCCTTGCCTGTCCAGCTCTCTGGACCATGAAGTCATATATTACTTTTCTGCTGACTCAATTCCTCCTCAACTTCACCTTGACATGTAATTCACCGCAGCTACCAGATCTCGGGCCCAAAGCCATGGCCTACTTCACAAAGGTGAATCTGCCACCCCCCTTGGCCCAGCTTCCTCTCTGAGAAGGAAGATTGTCTAGGGGAACTCTGGATGGACCACCATCCCAGACAGGACAGGGCCCAGCCTGCAAGTCCCACAAACGCCAATGAGGACTTTTTTCTTCTTTTACACAAACTTGGCACTTACATTCATTACTCTATCAAGGCGCCGCCGAAGGATCCTCACTGAGTGTGCGTGGCCGGAATAATGGGGCATGTAGGGCTCCAGCTGCGGCAATTTCTTGTTTAACTCACGGTTTACCAGGGCCAGTTCATTGTTGAACAGCATGTAGAGATCCACCGCCTTTTTGTCATAGGTTCGCTTTATAGCCTACGGGAGGAGAGGAGGACATACCTGGAGATGCCGCCTCCCTCCAGTCACTTCTACCTCCTCATCCTAGAAGAAGGCTGACCCTCTCCCATAGGAACCACACCCCAGAGTGCTCTGCAAACTAGGGCCACAGAGGAAGAAGAGGTGCTGGGCACTCAGGACATGGGACAAAGCACATGTGAAAGTGAAATAGAGTCTGGAAACATCAGGAAGATGGAAAAGGAGGCAAAAGAGAGACGAGGTCTGAGGGAGCGGCGGGCAAGCTGCACCTCACGGGTCGCAAGCCTGTGGAAAGTGTCCAGCAGCAGAACGCCATGCTCCACGTCGCGCACCAGCTCAAAGGCCGAGGTGATCAAATTCTGCGTCATCACCTCCAGGTCCTTGACTCCAGCACGGAATCTGTACCATTGGAGAAGCATGTTGAAGTGTGAGTACCCTCATTAACCCCTAAGAATATCCCCGTACAGAGTAATTCATGTGTTTTATTCCAAGGGTTTCCTTGTTTTTGTGTACTATCCAGTCAGAATCAACCCACAGCTGAACATCCAGCGCATTTTGAGAAGCTGAAAATCGCACACAGGCAAAGCAGCTGGTAGATTCGAACTGCATACCACTGCGTTAGCAGCACAGTTTCTTATCACTAAGCCACCAGAGCTCCTTAAAGGATTCCTAGGGGCCAGATATTTGACTGAGTGCTTTGCACGCATCTGTTCATTTAATCCACAGATCAACTCAATGAGATGGGTTCTATGATTAACCTCATTTTATAGGAAACAGGTGTGGGCTGACAGACACCAGGCCCAAGTCATAGTACGTGACAGAACCAGGATTTAAACCTTGAAAGTCTAATTCAAAATCTAAAGGCTAATTTTAATCTTTATGTTAATTTCCAGGGATATTTTAATTTCACTAACCTGCTCCCTCTCTCTCTCCCTCCCCTCACTCCTTCCCACATCTGATGCCATTCCAGCCCTTTCTATACTCTCTGCTCTTCTCATTTCCTGCCCTCCCCATAACCCTGGGTTCTCTCACTTATTGTAGTCATCATGCCAAGATGTGTTCTTGACATCCAGGATGCCCCCTCCAACGGCCCGCAGCACGTGCAGGTGTTTAGAAAAGATGTCCTCAATTTCCAGCATGTTTCGTGTTATCTGTGGCCCTTGGGCACCAAAGAAGCAAGGAAGGGGGCCCTGCTTGCCATCTTCCCAGCGGGCAAAGCGGTACTGACAGTCACAGACCTAAAAGCAACTCTGTGTGAGTGAGGGTTCCTGCTCGCCCTTCTCAACTTCAAAGTTCTGGCCTCTTTGGCTTCAGCTTAAAAGTCTCTTAAACCTAGGGAGGATCAGCCAGACGATGGGCTTACTGGGACCAATTTGAGTGAAATGTGAAGGCAGTTATAACAGACAAAAAACCTTCAAGAGCAGCCATTACAAAGGGGTCAGTTCTGTGTTTGGTCCCTTAATAGAAACCTCTGCCCCATCTCTCTGGCTCCAGATGGGAGCCTGCAGGGTTTTCTGTTGGTTTTGATTCTCTGCCCCTGTTGGTCTCCGCACCTCAATGAGGTCCTTGCAGCGTTGCACAAAAGCATCAACCTGAGCAAATATGCTAGTCTGGTCCAGGACCCAGCCCCGGCTGGAGAACCTGTGTCAGGAGAAAGATCAACTGAGTCAGGAAGGAGGGACAAGCACTAGGTATCAGGTTGCCCATGGAAAGCTAGAACCCTGAGTGCTGGGTTTAGGGGAGCCTTCGAAAACCACACACACACACACACACACCCCCCAGAAGCTTCCCTGAATGCTGAAGGAAGAAATGCAAAGTCAGAAAAACCAGAAAGGAGATAGTAAATATAGAACCGAATTTTGGGGTCAAGATATGAGGAAGAGACCCAGCAGGCTTCCTGCTTTCAGTGAAAGTTTATGAGAATCGGTAGACCTAAGGTTAGGAGCTAGAATAACTGTCCAGGAAGAAAACTTGACCCACCATAGAAATTCTTAAGCCTAGCAAAATATCAGTCATATATTTAGAAGAAAGAAAAGTAGGGGTGCTCAAGTGAAAGGAGCTGGTGAGATACCCCCCACCCCAGGAATGGTTAGGCCCACTCTGAGGGTTTAGGGTGTTAAGGGGACGTGTCGTACTGGGTATGCATCTGAACGGCCCGCAGGTAGTGATCTTTCCAGGCATGACAACAGGCAATGCAGCCCTGCAGATTCTCCTTGCTGGAGGTGACGTAGCCCTCGAAGATTCGGTCCAGGGAGATGGCATGGCAGCATAGGCGGATGATCTCATTGCTCATCTGCAGGCCGTCCCAGCAGCCTCAGCTCTCACCCTTAGTTATCCCAGCCCCTGCCACCCCCGCTGCTGTCCCCCTCCGCAACACACCTCGGGTCTCTGCCTCCTACTCTCTGACTCTTGGTCACTCACCTCTATCCACCTCTGCCTCCTTATCCCTCCTCAGCACCATGCTACAGCTCTACTTTTCCACTGAGCTCTCAGCTCTGCCCCTTCCAGTCTTTGGCCTGGCATTACCCCCCCAAAAATGCATGACACCCTGTTCCTCAAGATCCTGGGCCCCTTTCCTAAGTGTATCTCCCCTCTCATCATTTTAGTGTTCATCTTTGAACGTGAAAACAAGAAAGTCTTCCTCCCTCTGTGTATCTCGGCCCAGCAGTGGGCCAACCTGCCTGCTTCCCCTGTTCTAACAGCTCTTAAGGTTTTTCTTTCTGCAGGAGCACCTTCTCTCTGGGAACAAGGTCCAGCTGACAGGACCTCAGAGAACAACTAAAGCTCAGGATGCAAGGGCGGTCCTCACTCCCTTTTTACCCACTGATCTTCTGTTAAGTTGCAATTTGTCAACTTAGCTACACCTACAAGCCCTCTCCCTCACCCTCTGTCCACACGCACCTTTCGGAAGAGTGAGGTGAGCCTCTCCCGAGTATTGTAGTAGGGAGAGTTGACCCAGATGATACGGATGAGGCTGATCAACTTGGGGAGTTTATTAGAAATGTCCTTAGGCTGCATGAAAGCCAATTCCTGGTAAGGTTCCTTCAAGATTGACAAAAAGGTCAGGTTTGACTGTGCTTGATGAGAACCATCCTGGAAGGAAAGAAAAATAAACAGCAGACTTATCCATTGGGAAGATATTTGTCTCTAATTGAATTTCCGAGTTTACACACAGTGGGAGGACTTGATAGCTGTGGATCACATGACAAGATGTTCCTCCTGCTCTTCCCCAGGCTCTCCACACAGCCTTATCCTCACCTGGGTTCTTAGACTTTTGCCTCTATCTGTGTGTGGTTCAAGGTCCCTAATTACTGAGCGTGAAGTTTCACTTTTGTTACAAAAAGAAGTCTTCCATCTCTGAATTCTGCAGCTCACTCTTCTCTGTTCAGGCACTAATATAATCAGCATTCCATAATACATCTAATCTACACACAAGTGTTGACTGTGACTTTCTCAAATGAACTACATGGTTCAGTCTTTGATCCCATGTTTGTTGTTGTTGTTGATACTGTTGAGTCGTAGACGACTCATAGCGACCCTATGAACAAACAGCCTGAGCACTGTTCGCACATAGAGTTTCCAGAGACAAGCCATTTCGGAAGTGGATGCCACTCCCATGTTAGCTAATATTTCTATTTTGTATGAAGTCTAGTCTTCTTAGCTGGAGCATGGTGGTTGGGATCACAGAGGATGCTCAATGTATATTTGTTGATTAGGGATTTGGCACTCCCTAATTAAACTAAACCTTAGGAACTCTGTCTTTTACGACTTCCATACTTTCTCACAAGGCCAAATGCAAGCTTAGAGTGGCTCACTGTGTGATACTGCTGAAGACACTGGTTCCTTCCTCTTAGCCTTCTACATCATCCTAAATGTTCCCTACCTGCTAACCCTCCGTCCATGGATGTACTCACAAACCTGGATTTGCTGGGCCAGCTTCGTAAAGGGGGCTAAGTAGGATGACTTGGCAAGGTGCAGAATGTTCTCGATGTGTTTGACTCCTTCCTTCACCAGCTGCTTACTGATGCCAGACAGGTCCATACATCGGTTACGCCAGAACTCAATCTCCTCCAGAGGACCCAAATTTTCTCCTGTCTCCACAGTCTCCTGAGCACTAAGTACCTCTTTGATCTGCCGGGTCCAGTGGATCATGGAGGCTGTAGAGTAGAAAGCAAAGCCTCTGTGTGTCTTTATGCTGCTCCCACTCTGTCCTTCCATCCCACACACAGCACTTCGAACCCAAAGGCAGGCAGCCTCCTCTACTTGCTGCAGGGATTCCTACTGGACCCTGGCAGTGCCCACCACTCACTCTCCAGCCGCTGAACCAGCTCCTTGTCCTTCACCACCACCTCAGGCTTCATATTCATGCCTTCTGTGGGTATGTAGAGAACTGTGTGTCCTTCCAGTTTGTACCGAGTGTCTAAGGAAAGGAAAGATTCAAGGAAGTTCACAAAGGTGGATAAGTAAGTGATGTACCAGTTCCAACACTTCAAAAAGGCAGATGAGGGAAGGTATCTGCATTCTTTTTTGTTGTTGTTACGAGTAAAAAAATTCAAAACAACTATGAGATATCATCCCACCCCTGCAGGAATAGCAAAGTTCAACAGAGCATCAAACAACAAATGCTGGCAAGGTGGTGGAGAAATTGGAAACCTCCTTACTCACTGTTGGTGGGAGTGAGTGTAAAACAGTGCAACCACTATGGAAGGCAGCATGGTGCTTTCTCAAAAAGTTGGAAATAGAAATACCAGTTGACCCAGCAATTCCACTACTGGGAATATACCCCAAAGAGACCAAAACTTCCACCCAAACAAGATATATGCATGCCTCTGTTTATTGCTGCATTGTTCACAATAGGAAAGAGTTGGAAACAACCCAAGTGCCCATCAACAAACAAATGGATAGAGAAGCTGTGGTATAGTCATACAATTAAATACTACACAGCACTGAAAAACAAGGAACTCATAAAATATTATACAAAATGTGTGACCCTGGAGAACACTATGCTGAGTGAAATATTTCAGTCACAAAAAGACAAATACTACATAATGCTACTGTTTTAAAACAGGACTGACATGGGGGTTGGGGGAGAAAGTGAAGAAATTGTGTAACAACTAAAGAATTTTTTTTTCAAAGAAAAAAGTGAACTGGGGCGAGTAGGGTGGAAAATGTGCAACAATGAATGAATGGAAATCCAAGTCCTCCATAAACTTTCATTAAAATATCAATTTTAAAAAATTTTAAAAATAAAAAAGTAAAAAAAATTACAAAAAACAAGAGAAACCTTACAGAGGAAGAAGAAGATATCACCCTACAGTAAGCGTCCTTAACACACTCTACTATTATGCATGCACATCCCTCTCTAAGGGGCCCCCATGCTTTCACTTCCCTTTTCCCGCTGTAATATCCACCTTGACCAGGTCTGATCAAGACCTTTTACAGCAGAAAACTGTTTTCAGTCAAAGGCAGATTCGGCACCTTGTTCCACTCATTCAGCAAACACACAGTGAATACCTCCCAAGAGCATCACTAGGTCACCGGGGATGCAGGCCATGTGGATTGACACTTTTAGAGGAGGTAACACCAGTATAACTGTCTATAGAATATGTGTGCAGTGCTGCAGTAGAAATGCAATGTTTTTATAAAAATATCTTCTGTAGTGTGTTATGACAACAGTTTTTAATAAGCATAGCCTTACATTTATCAATACACCTACAATATTAATTTACTTTTTGAAACTTCTAATTCTCTTCAATCAGAACTGTCATTATCACCCAATTACAGTGGTGCTTCAGATCACATGGTCTCACCTACATGTAAGAGCCAATGTATTAGATACACGTTATTCTATACAATGTATTCGAATACATGTTTCTACATGTATTAGAAACCAATGGTTTTTTATTTCTTTTTTAAAAATTGTGATTTTGACAAAAGTTTACAGAAAAGTTGGATTATCATTCATTCATTGTTGCACATTTTTCTCCTTCCCTTTCCTTTTCCCCTTCCCCCAGGAAACCAATGTTTTTACAGTCACTGATTATGTCAAATTTTCTAGTATTTTAGTTACAATATTGAGGCTCTTAGTATTTGTGAACTTACAGGAGTAACTCTTTTGAGAATGACTTAGTAATTAAAAGAAAAAGAGAAAAAATTAAGTGCTTCCTATTATTAATAATGTTGCAATAATGTTGTAATGCAATATGCAACAGTTTTACAAAGCTATCTTGTGGTATTAATATAATTTAATAAATAATTCTTTTTTAAAGACACTCATTTGGTGGCTGCAGCCTCTAATTTAAAGCAGCTGGGACCGGAAAGATAAGCCTTTTTGATCAACAGTTGTGTGAAACACTAGCAGCAAAGATTCACCAGTGACTTCCATGAGACCTTAATATTCACATCTGGGTCGCCAAAAGGTTACTGCACCATACTAGCTATAAATATCAGCCAGAACACTCTCCTAGGTTCATGTTCTGCCACATCTATGCAGGCTTCAACTGGATCTGGTAGTATGATATTCATATGTATGGTTTGCTATTAGAGGTACAACACTAAATTTTGTATTTGTTATGCACTTGTCTGTCAGTTTGCTGTACCAAAGTAATTTGAGGGTTGCTGTAATGCTGAAAGCTATGCCACCTGTGTGTTAAATGCCACCAGAGTCACGCATGGTGGACAGGTTTTAGCAGAGCTCCAAGAGCAAGACAAATTAGGAAGCAGGATTGGATATCCACTTCTAAAATAGCCGGTCTTTGGAAACCCTATGAACAGTAAAGGAACACAGATAGTTATAGTAATAGAGGTAGAACCTAGATTGGAAGTCAATCAAAACGAGGAAAAATAGCAGGAAACATCCTTTAATAATTGGAACATGGAATGTACGAAGTATGAATGTTGGAAAACTAGAAGCTGTGAAAAATAAAATTCAACACATGAACATCAACATTCTAGACATTAGTGAGATGAGATGGACTAGCTTTGGCCACTTTGAATCAGATAATCACATGTTATACTATGCTGGGAATGAAAAACAGGCAAACAAAAACACAATGGTGTTACATTCATAGTGAAAAAGACAATTTCAAGTTCTATCCCGAAGTACAATGCTGTGAGTGATGTTGTTGTTGCTATGTGCTGTCGAGTCATTTGCGACTCATAGCGACCCTATGTACAACAGCCCTAAACCGTGCTCTATCCCGTGCCAATCTCATTGCCTCTGACACACCCATCC